ACTGCAGCACAAAGTGCAACTAAATGCATATGTAGTCCTGCCCTGCTCTGCTTCTATTACTCACACATCCCAGATGATTTTCACCCGACTCACCCTGCAGTTACAACAAACAACAAAGTGAAGCTGGTGCTTCATGTCAGGTTGGGCTTTTTTAGGCCCAATCTAATATGACAGATTTTTCCTCCATATATGGACCTGGAGGAAATTGTCAGGCTGCACATTCAGGTGAAGTGTTCATAATTTAAGTGTAGTTGTTTAATTTCATTGTTTATAATTATGTAGTTATTGAGGCCACAGTCAGTGTCTTTTTTCACTGGGAGATGATTATGTTGAATACTGAGAAGCAGCATTCACACATGAATATTTTTCATAACAAAACTATAGTAACAAGGAATCGTTAGAGACAAGAAATAAACATAAGGAGGAACACTAAGCAGGACTGAAAGTAAAAGAAACAAGATTGGTCAAAGAAAGAGACTAAAGAGTAATAAACCCCAAAACAACCCAGGGCACAACACAAAGGGGTTCTTAGTTTTTGTAGTGTATTTATTTGCAGGGGGGTATCATGTAGCTGCTGAATGAAAATACATGTTGGAAGAGATTGTTGTCTTCTGCCACAATTAACTTTGAAGTGGTTTGTTTTCAGGTGGTTCTTTTACAGAATTGAACAGTCTGAATAATCATGTAGAACTGTCTCTTCCAGCCTGGTATGGGTTTAATCATCATAGCAGTGTTTATGTCTTGAATATATAGCTTTCTAAAATGTAGCTGCATTTTTAAAGTAAAGGGGCTGTTTTGTATCGTACCAGCAGTGGAATGAGTTTCATGTTTGCCCTTGTAAAATACAATTTAAAATGCTGCTTGGTGACACACACTATGCCAGTCATCCATTCAATGCAGTTGGCTTTTAAGCATATGCACATCTACTTTTCTCCTGAAGGTTTGCAGACAAAATTAAATTTCCATAAAATTTGAAAGGGAACATTGCCTCCAACCACAGTGATGTATTGAAGCACTTATTGAGTTTGAAACACCTTTTAGGATTGCTAAAAGGAAATAATGTATGGTGGCCATGAAAACACAGATGACATTACCTCTGTTCAGAGGCAGCATGAGAGCAGAATAATGATGAAAACATAGAAATTTCAATACCACATGACTTGACTTCTCCATGAAATAGAGCCATTTTTCTTTTTAATATCAGTTCTGTTTTTTTTTTCAGTAAAGATAACACAATATCACACACTCAGCACATTCAACTTCTGGGAAATAACATTTTGAACACTAACAGAGAAATATATTAACAGTAAGCATTTAATTGAATTTGCAGCAATCCAATTAAAATTGTTTGCTTTACAGTGTGAGGAGAAGTCAATATTTGCTCTGTGTTTGGAAATATGTCTCCATTTCCTCTCCTTTAGCTCTTTTCTGAGCTGATGAAGTAAAGAATGGTAAGAGGGTTTCTATCAGTGAAAGATAATGTGAGTGATGTACTATATTCTTAATCGTGTTGTGATCTGTGTTTTTCTGTGTAGTTATTTTGAGATATTGTTATCCTGTTCCCTGTGAGTCTCTGTCTCTGCGTCTTCCCTGTTGATTGTCTCCCAGGTGTGTCTCGTCCCCTTGATTACCCCGTGTGTATTTAAGTCCACCTGTTGTCTCTTGTCAGATCCTTGTCATTCGTCGCACGTCTATAGTTGAGTTTCCTTAGTAGAACTGTGAAGTCCTGAGGTTACTTGTTTTTAGTCTACAGTCTTTATATCAGTTGCTACTGGTGTTAGCTGTGTGCTAATTTGCTGCCTGTTCTGGACTGTTAGGATCATCATTATTATTAAATTCATCATCACCTTCACTATAATCTGGGTTCTCTGCGCCTCTCCTCACCACCACCAACCACACCCCATGACAAATCGCTGCATATGGAGAAGATATTAAGTGTGTTTTAGTTTCACTCTGAATATTACTACCATTTACTCTCAACCTAAGAAACTCCTGACACTTTGGCTCAGACTAATGAGAAAAGGGAAGCTGGAGATGAGAGATGATTGAGAGGTGAGAGTAAGGGCAGGTGAGACAGACTAGCTTCAGTGTTAAAATGATTAGGTGGCCACTATAGATTCATTAAAGGAGCCCTTACAGTCAGAGGATAAGCTTTTTCAACTGATGCTAAGACCATATCCTGATAAATTAGGAATAGTCTAAACACATTGTTTCTTCAGAAAAAAAAGCACCAAAATAAATTATATCACGTGCAATCACTTCTTCAGAACATATCAAAACATTTAAACTATGAAATAAAACATCATAACCGTCATTATAATTTAAAACATTCTGTGGTACCCAAATCCTTTACTACATCAACCAATGAAAATATGGAAATGAGTGGAGCACCACAGCTTGTATGTAGGATACTGCCATCAGGGAGCGGAGGAGGAAGAGGAGAGAAGGATGGAGAAGTGTGTGAGAGAGAGATATGCAGGAAACAACAAGAAAAGAGAGCAGTGACAGAAATATGATGCTTGAGAATCCAAATTACTGATGTAAATGTGGAATAAGTGGATCATGTTCTGGCATTTCTACAAGACAACCACAAATTAAAATGATCTAGTAAAAGTATTGACACTGAAAATATTTAGGTTCACTTCAAATAGCACAATAGCTGGTTTAAGGATTATTAGCTGTAGTGCCTTTAATACCTGTATCTATTGCTCGGTGATAAATCGTCATATGTGCCAGGTAGAGGTCAGGTGACCACAGGCTTTGGCTCTCAAAGGGAGATGCAGCCACCTGTTCTCCGCTCAGACGTCGTTCCTACATTTTACAAACCTTGCTTCCCACCAATCACCATCATTACCTTCAGTGCTTCTCTTCTCTCTTCTGTCCTGATTGCATCTCTTCTTTTGTAATGCTGGCCCTTTTAATATAAAATACTATACTTCTTCCTTTCTTCCATAAGTTTTTTATTGCATGTGGGTCCAGCCAGTACCAACACATCTCAGTATCCACATATTAAGCCACTCACCATACAATACTTAGAAACTGAGGTTATGAATCCCATGCTGTTTCCTCTGATGTAAATGTATCTAATTTTCTTAAATTTCATTCATAAAAAATGTTCAGCACACAGTTCTACACCTTTCTTTATACTTTAGACTTATTGTTTTCCTTCTTTACTTGTATTACAAGAAAATAAATTATTCTAAAACTCCTACTGAGCTAGTAAATTAACATAGAAACAGCTCTGAAAAACCTGTACTGTAGGCAGTTCAATATTTTGTTATTAATGGAAACAATTTAATAGACTGTCTCCTTAAAGGGGCATTTCACATCATAGTCAGCTACGTTACTTTTAGTTATTAAAAAATGACATATATATTAAATATGGCTAAAAAGAAATTTGACTTTGTAATTTAACACTTCGAAATTGGGTCTGTCTCTTTAAAAACTCCTACTCTTTCTGAAACTCCGCCTTTAATAAGTCATTAGAGCATGGCTTCTCTATTAACCTTTTAACAATAATTTTACTAGTGTTGAACATAGAAGTAGCTCCTATAATGAGTTCAATGCATGCACAGTTCCAGCTAATTGCTGCTGGCTAGTCTGAAGGATCTGGGTGGGGTGGTTGAGGAGGAGGGCTGCTCTCTGAGGAGGGAGCTCAGAAGCTTGGAAACTGCAGCTCCAAGGAGGCGCTGCACCTTGAAGGCGGCGCTCAGTCCACCCAGGCATGTTGCACAGCTGAATGGTTGCCATGGAGATTAAATGATTGCTCAACATCCATGAAAGATTCAAGGCAACACTCCAGGTGTGCACTGATGAGGAAATACCATTGTAACATGATGCAAAGCTAAAAAAAAAAATAAAAAAAAAAAGTTGATTTCTACGTGATACTTCTTTAAAAACTCCTGCTCCTTCTGAAACTCCACCTTCAGGAAGTCATCACATGATCGCTCCGGGAACAGAGTAACTTTTGTTCCACACTGTGTTTTCAATGTGACAACAAATTCCTTGGACCAATACAGTTATTATCTTTGGTGAACTGGGCTCTATAGTTTCACACAGAGTGCTACTTATTTCCTGGATGTGTTGCACAGTGGAAAATGTGATTGTGTTTTTTTTTGTTTTTTTTTGTTTGCTTGTTTGTTTTTTGTACTTTGCATTTACATTGTGTTGTAGGCTTTTATGTTTATTTTCCCTTAAACTCCTCAAACACACTGAACTGAAGGAGTGCAGTAATTGGCTGCTCATAAAGACATCAGCAGAGACTAACTGAGGACAGATAAAACAAGCCGAGGTAGAGGGAAGAGGTGAACTGATTAGGTGGGCTACTGAGACACCCTCCAGGGCGAGAAGTGAACGGAACCCACAAGAGCAGAGCCATGGGAGGGGGACCGACGGCCCAGCACAGAGGATTAGGGCAGAGGGGAACCTCTGAGGGGGGAGCAGAGTAGCACTTGATCAGAGATTACCGACAGAAAACACGCCATCAAACAGAGTTGTGGTGTGGGGATGTTTCTTTCAACCAGATGAAGCGTTGTGGAATCAGCTGTATGCTGGCAAAGAGGAGGACGCTGCAGACAGATCCCCTCCACCTGAAGCAGCACAGCAAGCAGGGCCCCTCAACTGGTGACTCTTAAAGACAATTGTTAGTTTATGGCTTTTATCTGAGAAATAAGTGGTAAATACCACCCCACCCAGATCCTTCAGACTAGCCAGCAGCAATTAGCTGGAACTGTGCATGCATTGAACTCATTATAGGAGCTACTTCTATGTTCAACACTAGTAAAATTATTGTTAAAAGGTTAATAGTGGTATTGAGTCCATTGCCAGGGTGAACTAAAATAAATCATTTTCAGATTGATGTTTCCTTTGGTATTTGAGTTGCTTGCTCCACTCTGGTGACAGATGTAGGGCTGGGCATAATTGTGAAGTATATTAGAAATCCCACTTAGTATGGGATTAAGCAGCATAAATTCAAACATTTTCTGCTGTAGGTCATGTAGCAGCATAAATGGTGCGCTGCCACTTTAAGGCCAATTTCAGCGGATGCATATAAGCAAGCCTTCACCTGTCATGAGGCTGCTTGCGTTGTGACGTCAACTGAATCTGCTTCCTTTGTTTGCACTGTTCTGGGTAAGCGTGGCTGTTTTATGGTTTGTCGGCTTTAATAATGGCTATTAATGCTAATTGGTTTATCTGCTTAGCCTCCTTTGCTGCACTTCCAGTATCTGGACCGATCTGTCCATTCATTTGTTTGCTGACAGGAAGGTAAGGGCTTAGCGTGGCTAGGTAACATCTACCCCATGTAAACAAAACCTTCACATAGCGTTTTCTTACAGTTGCACTGCATCTAGGCGGAATTGGGGATCTGATTATTTGGCAGTGCAGTCATTAATCAGGTCACAGGTAAGCAGCTGCTGCAAGTTAGGTTTTTGTTAGCAGTTGTATTAATAATTTGCTCTATTCTTTTTAGCCTTCTGACTCATCAGCATTGTACCTGGAGTGACACTCGCTGCTGTTTTGCCTACTTAGAAATTGTTTTAAAATACTAATCTGCACTTTCCCTGGGGATAAAGTGCAACCTTGTAGAGCTATTGTATCACTGTTTTACTTGTATTGTTTCGTTTTTTTTTTTGTCTTTCTTTTAGGGACTGAGGCTTCTGTGGTGGCGGTGGTGACCCCTGGTGGCGGTGTCTTGTCTTGTGTGTTTTGTTGGAGCACCTTTTTCTTTGTTTGCTGTGTTTTTGTAGTGTCCAGGGTGGTCCCTTTTTCTGCACTGGATGTTGCCCCCTTCCCTCACTCCCTCCCCCATTGGTAAGCCTCAGTTTCCTTTGAAATTTAAACATTTTATTATAATAAATCTTGTCAAATGCATTCACTGTTTTAACCATTCAATTTCAGATTATTGGAAATTTAAAAAAATATATTGAAGTTTAATAAATTTTGTATAACTTTCTGAATCTCGTCTCCTCATTTCCAGTAGAACTTACCTGTGTCCTTATTACATTACATTTTCCTGGATTTATTCCAGGTGGCATTGTTGGTCCTTGTAACCTTTAATATTTTATATTTGGGTTCATAATAAAAAGAAAATCCACCCCCAGGTTGCCACAGTCAGTTAGGATAACCCAGGTTATCCTTGAGTTTAACCCAAACCCAAGGATATCTCAGCTGGTTAAAGGCTGAGGTTCAGTTTCTAATCAACTGAATCCCACAATATATATTTTTTAAGTTTTTCAAACTTGGCAATATACCCACATTTTCTCAATATTTGGTACATTTCCCTTTAAGTTAAACTTGCCCCAAACACTTTGGGTATCATTCCACAAATTTCTCACAATAGTTTGCTGGAAGAATGATCTAATCCTCCAGGTAGAACTGCTGTAAGTGAATCAGGTTTGTTGGCCTTTTAGCTCACACACTCCCTTTCAGCTTCATCAACTTTTCCATCAGACCTTTCTAAAACACTCAGTGTGGTGTAATTGGGTCTCTTTGGAATTAAGTTGCCAGTATTCTTAGCAATTCTGTGTCTCTTTCTGCTGAGGATGTTATGTTATTGGACCCATTATAAATATCTTAAAGAAAAAATCTTGACCATATTTGGTTGTATACAACATCTTTATGCTGTCTTTTGCAAATGTAGGTAATAAATTCTTGTAGATATTGGGACACAGGCTCAGACGTCACTGGAGGCTACCCCAAGTTGGATTTTTTTTTTTTCTTCTTTGTTCCATTTCTTTTCCTAAGCTAAAATTATAGTCGGTTCATTTCTGGTTTTGTCAGTTGCCTCCTTCTTCAGAGCTGTCAACTGCTGGCTCCTTGCCATCCTCCTGTATTAGTTCATTTTAAATACTTAGATCATTGTAAAGCATCTACAGACTAATGAGCACAGCCTCAATTCAACTGGTGAGCTGTTTAATTTAAATGTGTCAATGAAATGACTTCTAAC